AAAATCGCAGGGTGTTCAAATACTTCTGTTCCTCACTGTACCTGATTTTGTCAATGCTGATCCATCTTTCAGGACATCTCACAAAATCACTAAATCAATAACAGTTAAAAAAAACAACACTGTAATAAGGAGCTCTGCATTTGTTTGTACTTCTAACAGGCATTTTGTGAGATTATTGTATGTCATCAGGGTGAAAGTGTTGTTTTCCATTAAAGCCAGAAGACCTTTCTTTGACAAATGTGACTTTTGATAGAGGGGGAAATACTGTAAGACGGTAGTTCCATTAAGACAGTCCGTGTGTGTGACCCATTTAGCAAAACTCATATCTGCAGTGTACATTTTAGATTTTACTGTGCCTAAAAAAAAACCTCTCAGGAAGATGATAAAATATAGACGTGCTTCCTCTGCTAACATCTGTGACATACTTTCACACACTTGCGTCTACTGAAAACAGTGAACATCTCATCTGATATTATCTGTGACATAAACTCATAAAAATGTTACACAAAAACATGAGTACACACAAGCTTGGGTACAGAACTGTGTTTATTCATTTCCAGTTCAGTTCACTTGACAGACTTGAAACCAGTCACAATAATTTTGTTACCAGCACTCTTAACATTCTTCAAAACTAAGTCAGCACACATACTCAAATCTGCTTTTTCTGTTTTTCGTCCCAGTGGTGGAAAAAAGACAAGCAAACGTCACCAAAACACAATCTCAAAATGTATAACAAAAACCCATAAGGATTGCTAAATAATAATAATAATGCCCAAAAAACAGGAATGGAATGTCTTTAACACATTTGGACAATATAGTTACCATTAAGAAATCACAAAATGGCATTTTGGTGAGTGGCTGGATCTTTTCCAAGGACAAAACTGTTATCTTTATAAAAACCTTAAAAATCCAGCTGTGTTTATACTGGCCAAATGTCAGACTTTTTTGACCCAATTAATTTACACTGTGAACAAGTAAACTGAAACTAAAGTCCCATTTATTATAGCAAAAACAAACATCCCATTTCTTTTTCCTAAGGATTAGGACTGACTTTTGTTTCCTTTAAAAACAAGTCAAACCTAGGTATCCCGCAGTTTGGTGCCATCTTTAGCCTGTATAGGGGAACTGCAGTAGGATGGCTTGACTAGGTCCTAAGGTGATGTTGTCCAGATGGATTGTGGAGTCTTCCTTCAAGCTCGAGTCCGTTGTCAGCTTAACCTTGGCCATATCTGGCAACTCTACTCCCTCTGCAGGAACAAAGATCATAGTGTTAAAGAAGAATGGACACAGGGACTAACTTCTGGCAGTGTATGTTACTGATATGACACATTACATCTTATCTAGAAATCTCTTCAACTTGCCTGTAGGTGCCAGTTTGAGTGAGAGTGTCTGTGGTGCTGCTCCCCAATTGACAGCTGTTATGTATCTCTCGCTCTGATCCCATAGACGGAGAAAAGAGAGGGAGGAGGCAGAGGAGTAGAGGGGGTAGTAGTCACCATGGAGAAGAGAGTGTTCTTTGCCTCGCAGATCACTGAGCAATTTGAACCACTTGCTTGTAGCAACACGCTCTTTCCTCTCAGCCTGTAAATGTGAGAATTTGTTTAAAAAAAATTTCAATGAACGCAAATAAGTGATTTTGACCCTGTGTGAACTAGTCTGCTCAAGGAATCCTTTTCCACACTGAGATTCAATGATAACACTCTTACCTCAACAGTTTCATTGACAGCTGCTCCCTTCGCAGGTTCAGTATCTATGTCCCAAACCATCTTAGGGGATTTTTCACCCTGATCAGGAAACAAAAGCAGAAAGGCAAAGGTTACCCTCTGTATCAGCTGTAGGCTTGTTGAAGCATTTGTACACTGAACAGTTGCTGCTTACATGTTCTGCCTGAAGGCCGATCTCGTCTCCATAAGTAAACACTGGGGTTCCAGGCATGGTGAACAGCAGGAGCTGGTAGAGACGGACCAGGGCAGGAGTTGCTGCTATTTTTGACAGCTGGTCTTGTTGGGCAGCACCTAGACCCCAGCCCAGACTTCTCTGCTGAGAGTGAAGGGTGTCCATATCCTGGATTCGCTCCACACCTGGAAACAGTCAGGTAAATTGAGTGCCTGTGATGCACCAATTTGCGGTTTTCACAGAGGAACATTTGTTTGTTTAGTGTAAAAAGAAAAAAAACACACACACCCACACACACCAAAGAGGGGGACTTTGTTCTAAAACATTGCAAAAAACAGCATAAGCCACATTACTGTGCACGAGGAGGGGTGGTGAGGACAATGGGTGACAATGAATAAAAAAGGAGGACATCTTATAATGAAGATGGTAATCTGTCCAGAATAATGTGATATTTTGTTCAATATCAACCCCTCAACCAAAAAAAGGACAAGATACCCACTTGATACACAGACAAATAGAACACTGCAGCCTACCTCCATTTTTCTTTTCAAGCAGGTCAGACAGAATGAGATCTACCCCAGAGGTATTGAGCATCTGAGACACCTCTACAGTGGACATATGTTCGACTACACCCATCAGCGCCCTGACAGAAAGAATGGGGTCAGATTAGTCAAATTACAGAACAACAGAGCCAGAGGGGAGATGGTTTACACTGCTCACACTGAGTTCAGTCAGCTGAAAGTAGTAAATTAAGTATGGTTACATCATAACTTTTTTCAAGAATAGTGCCATTTTGTGTTATTCTTAAAATCATCCACAAGATGTCGCTTTCCTACAAGAGTCTAATGTGCCACTGGCCTCCCTTGTTGATCCAGCTCTCCCTGACCTACACCCACAGTCCCCTGCAGCACTGGAATGCTTTTATCTCCATGTTCTCTCAGGAAATCTAACCACATCAGCTGACATTTTTCTGATGCTTTGAAAGTTAGTTAACAAAGAAATATCAGCCCTACAAATTCTTTAACTGGTTTGAAAACTGTTCCTTTGTGTCTCAAATCTGGAGTGGAATACAGTTTATTCTTTATCTCCAAGAAAAAAAAGCCAAATTCAGCTCCTTGTACCTTCTAATATTCATATTACTCATTCATATATCATATCAGTCTATTTCAAAATTGATTTTCGTATAGCTACATTAAATGTATTCAAACATCTTGCAACTTGAACATTCTGTCCACAGACTAATTATGCTGAACCACAGGAAGTAGTAGCCATAGTTACCGCTTCTTGGTGTCCTCTGTGCGGTTGCCCTGGACAGCAGCCTGCAGTTTTGACCAATCAACAGAGTTGGTAGCAACAGTGAGGCCAGATATCTTGATGCCATCAACACCCAGACTCAGCCAGAACTCTGCTGCAGCCTGGAAGACAGCATGAGCGCTTGAGAACAGAAACAAGGAACAGTTCAGTGAGTGATGGACCATAGAGCATAAAGTGCGTGTCTCCTACCGTGACTTTCTCCATCACTTCATCAACATTAGCTGTGTTGAACCACGGAGTGCCTCCTGGATAGTTTGGAGTCAGGTCAAGCACCACAGAAATACCTAAGAACAACAGGAAACAAGTTTGACAACATCTGGGCTTGAGCAGTGTAAATCTCCACTAAATCTAGCAAACGTAAGATACTACTGTTACCACAGACATTTGTGATTCATAATGATGGTCTGCGCTTTTAAACTCAAATAACTGACGTCAGCTGTATGATTACCTACCCATCGTGTGGGCCTTAACCACCAAATCAACAAGGTCATCGTTTTTTCCCTTTGCTGCATCAACGTCTGTAAGTTTCAGGGTGTTTGGCTGGCCGGGATCTACAGTGTGAATAGGGCCGAGGATGAGGCCTTTCAGCTTCAAACTGTTCATGTTGTCCAGCTTTGCTTCAACACCTACCAACAGACAGTAAGACAGAGGGACAATGAAATGCTGTGTCAGCTTGAATTTCACTTTGGGTAGGGTCATATGGCAGGAGAGCCATTTTGACAGTTTAGAAGACAGCAAAGCAAAAATAGAGGAAACAATCACTGCTGCTCTAAGTATTAACTCAAGGCAAGAGCGTGTGAATGACTCCCCCCCCCCCCCGTCTGGGTACAAGAAGATCTTGTTTGTGGAAACACAGTCACGTGTGGTTCTTGAAATTCTGACCAAGGCTTTGCTGGAAACCTGAGTGCTCCCTAGTGATTCACATAAAAATGGCAGTACAGTCTATTCTTCCTGCCTTGATAATTGTGACCAACTTTTTAAGTAGCATTTAATGATAATAAATTCTTAAAGGAACATGACTCACTCTTTTAAATCTAAAGTCTAAAAAGCTAAATCTGCACACAACTAAAGATATACTGGGTTGACCTCACATCTGAATAGCAGACATACGAGAGAAAGAACTTGGGAGTGTTAACGTCATTTAGACCTTGAGTCAGTGTCAGCCTAGTCAGCAGTTTGGAATCTGGCCAAATGAAATAAACTATGTGGAACTAAGCAGACCTATGACGCTGCCATACGACTTATCTCATGTGAATTAGAGTAGGTTACCACCAATACAATATCATTTTAGAAAGATTGGTAATAGGGATGACACCGAGAAATGATAAACCTTCAAACAGTTTTTAACACATCTTAAAGGTGAAAAAACACTGTACAGTGTTTTACTCCGATAAACATATGTGTATTTGAACTTTACCTTTAATTCCCTCAGAGGAGAAAGCATCAACATCAGAGATCTGGTACAGAGGTCCTTTGTTCCACCAGTTCATCTCAGGGATGGGTTTGCAGCGAGGGGCCTGGACTATGATTACAATGGCTCCGGCCAGCATGCCGAGCCAGCCCAGCCAAAAGAGAAGAAGAAGCACCCAACGAGTTCGCACCCATCTACAGAAAAGGATGACAATGTGGAAGATATGTTGAAATGGTCATTTATTTTATGACAGTACAAGACCAGTATTTAGAAGGTGTCTATAGCAAACGTAAGAGAGCAGCTCTAACCCCGGAGTACCAGCAACCCTCATCAGTTCCTCTTTGGACAGGCCAGTGAATGTAACCTCATCATCAGGAATCTTCAGCTTCACGCTGCCATTTTTCTCTCCACTTGCTGCCTGGCCATCCCCTGTCATGGGCTGCTTCTCAGGGTCCAGCTCATTGAGCTCCACATCCTTCATGTCAATCTCTTTGTCCTTATTCATGATTAAATCTGATTTCTTTAGAGATGAAGGTGCAGGGGGGTGGATAACAGAAGCAAAGACAAAGAAATAATAGATTGTCAAGATAAACTGGGCTTCTCCATGGCATCAAAAGGTGTAGGCCTTGGACATTTTTGCTTACAATTAACAATCTTTTTTCACTGATAAATAAATAATACCAAACATATGGCCAATAATGAGAGGATGAAATGGAACAAAGACAGGAAGGGAGTGAGGTCACTTCAGGCTAACACGTGTTACATATAGTACCTCATAGTTACGATCAGAAAACAAAAACCATACTCATACAAACGAACTAGGCAGAAATAAAACTGGTGTTAACGCTTACGTGTTATAACTAACCTAACATTACCAGTACTAAACTTAACGTTGGCTAAACAGCCTAAGCTAGCTCAGCTTTAGGAGCAAGTAACTAGCTCAGAAAAACTAGCTAGAAAATTAACGTTAGATACTTACATTGCACATATTTACTCTTTGTCTTAACAAAAAAAATCACCTCGACACAACTCTTTAAACGTTTTATTACTGCTAACTATGTGCTCTACAACTGTCTCATTAACGGGCTACTCAAAGTTTAGCTAGCTGCAAACAGCGGTAGCACCTTCACAATAAGAGTTGTTAGTGAGTTATTAGCTAGTATTAACAACCATTACCATCCTTTTAACACCATATAAATCGCCAGCAGACAACACATAAGCCATGTTTTGTACTGGGCTGTATTGCTATATTTTCTGTTACACCTAACAGACTACAGAAATTGTTTTATTTTTTTGATGCGCCGGAAGTCTAATCTTAGTTAGCTTGTTTGTTCTGGTTCGCTAAATGCGTTTAAAATAAAGACAAAAGTCACAAACAAGAAACCAGTAAAGTCGTTCACTGAGTAAGTGCCGGTACAAATTAACACGAACTTTTCGACCAGGGTTAAAATGTCTGATATAGCATAATTTACCCATTTCCAGAAATGATGAAATCGAGCTGACTGACTTGCATCAGATAAGGAGCCACGTTGGGCTAAACCGGTAATCTTACTGTACTCCCTTTCCCGTCTTCAACTTACTTTCAGACTTACCGTAAACATAGTTTGTGGAAGAAAAGTCAGTTTGATAAATCAGATATTACCTGTTAAAATAACGTATAGTCCGTCCAGTTTTCTTGAACCTGTTTTCTTACTAATCTTATTATAAGGGAGGCTCGGTCTGTATTTGTAGGTAACCGTTTTCCCCGCCCCTTCTCTCTCTTCTCTCTCTCCTTCTCTCTCTCCCTCTCTCCCTCTCGCTCTCTCTCTCTCTTAGTCAACAAACAAACAAACAAACAAACAAACATTAGACTATACCTTATGCTTCAAACCAACACACTGCTCAGGTTTAATACCATATGTTGATGCTAGTACTCGGACATTTCTAAATCTGTCCATTCTATTTTATGACCACTTGTTGATATAATAATAATAATAATAATTCAATAATTCATGTTTATTGTCTTTTCACAGTTTCATCCAGATTGTAAAATAGACAGGAAAGGAAGAACACGCATGGACAGTGTGTAGGTGGAAGGCCTGGTACATTTTAATATGATATAATATTTTAAATTCCTCATTACAGAGCAACACCAGTTAGGCCAAACACATTTTGTTAAAATTGGTAGCGATGACTAGCAACTTCAGTTTGGTTGTGCAAATGTTTCCTGAGGATAATAGGCAACATACTGGATTGATTGCCTACAATCTAGGCTCCTGCTGAGACCTTTAATCTTTTAGTGGGGATTTCCATTCTGTTCTTCACTAATGTGATTTAACCCCCACTTCCTGTCATTTCTCCTTCTCTTTATGAAGATCTCATTTGCACCATTTCTTCCCCTCATCAACAACTGACTATGCATTCCCAGTTTAATCCATTCAGTCGTGATAGTATTAACTCTACAATAAAGCAAACTGTTTTCTCTTATAGTCTTATGGTAAACCCTAAGAAAATAAATGAAAGACCATTTGGAATTGTTAGAGATATATTCTGGCTATTCTAAGTAGAATAGCCAAGGCAAGGCAGAATTTGTGCTTTGGTTGGTTTATTAGCAAGTGTCTGGGTTCCCTTAATAATACCATAATATGCAATAATTTAAACACAGACCCACTGTGTACAGCTTTTCTTGGTAAAGGCACACAAATAGTTGATTCATGTCAGGTTGCTGTTGACAGAGCCAGTGTCCTCTTCCTGCGTGTGCCCTCAAGCTTTCCTCAGCTGTTGCTAGCCTTCATACAGTTACAGTAACAGCAGTCTTTTAGGAAAAGCACCCAGTTGAGGAGGATATGCAATCAAATACCAGGATCCATATGTACCACCTGTACAATAGGACATACTTCAATGCAACACTTCCGCCTTAACATCTGTGGTTATGAAACTCAGAATGTTTCAGTTTTTGGTGAAATTACCATAAATGCATACATTCGGTTATATGTTTATTATTGAGGTCATAGTTAAAGGTGGTCTTGTACTGGACTAAATTATAGTCAGAAGTGTCTCCATATTTTGTCTCCCCAGCTACATACTGTACATGAGAGGGTCAGAATATTAGGAACACCTCTGAAGCACTTACTCATATTCCTGTGATGTCTATCTGTTGTTGTAGAGGAGAGGAGGGTAATATTTTATATGTAGCCTAACTATTTTCTTTCATTTAAAAACTTTAAAAAGTGCATTTACATAGGAAAGAACTCACCTGAGACAAACACAGCAGGCATTGATGAAAACTTTTCATGACTGATTAATGGTTTGATGATTTGGCTCATATCACTGCTCTTTGATAACTTCTGTCTTCTTCTACTTTTTTTAATATATACACCCGTCCCACAAAACTGACCCCACCGGTTTAACCACTAAACAAATTTAAACAAACATGTAGTGTAAACACACTCGCTATAACGTCTTTCTTTTTGCAGACCTTCCTTTATTTAGGTCTGGCATAAAATATTAATACATTTCATTGGCTGCTGTGTGTTTATTAGTGGCTCTGTGACATGTATAACCTTTTATAACACTGCTGTTATTTAGCTTCAGTTACTGTGCCAGGTTTTAATTTCAGTCCGTGGATTGTGTTTTTGTGTTTTTGGCAGTATTAGATTGTAACAGAGCTGCTGACTGATGGCTGAAGTGAACACACTATGCTGTTGCAGGGAGGATCAGGAACAGACTCACCATGAGCAAAGGTGAGCAATAGCAAAGGGACACAGTTTGTTTCTCTTATTCACCATTCCTTCCCTATCTTCGTAACGTTTATGCTTTCAGAGAATAATGAGAGCAATGTTTGGAGAGAGACTAATGTGAAAATGTAAGAAATATGAATAAAACAAGGAACGAGGAAGAGAGAGATGAGTGGTTGGATCAGGAAATGAGTGAGGAGGAGTCTCCAAGAAGTGGGGGAGAGACAGGGCAAACAGATAAAGGAGGGGATATGTCAACATGTTTACGAGTTCAGGGAGAAGCAAAGTGTGGAGCACAGTTTGTAAAGGAACCTTCGTCCATGGGTATTAATGGGAACATAGCACTGAGCTATATATAGTCAGCCTGTTAGTATCTATGCCAAAGTCTTTTCCCACATGTTGTCAGAGTCCTGTTCACTCTTCACAGAACTTGAACTCGCAGGGTAAATAGAAATCCATGCCCTATTTGAGAGGTTATGTGACACTGAGTTTTGCAAATTGGCTGTATTGTCAGTCGTTAGCAATGTTTTTCTGTTTAATCGTTTCTCTGCAGTTTTCTCTCACAGACAGTTGTTTAACTCTTTACTGGCATGAATAGACAACAGCCCATTCAGCATGTTAATATATTGAAAGATACTAAAGATTGCAACACTATGCCAATATTATCCTTGGATTGCATCATGCTAAGATAAACTTTACAGTTTCAACAAGTTCATGGAGGCCACTGATGGAGACTTTTCCTACTGTAGTTTTTGTTTATGCCTTTGGCAGAAGAGGAGGCAACAACATCAATAAATACATCTGCAAGCCAGCATGCACTCACACAGAGAAAGGAGAGGGACAGAGGAAAGGAGGGCAAAACTGCTGCATAGTTTTGTCTATTTTGAGTCAAGAGGGGGAAAGGGAAAGCCTGCACATTACATTATTCTAGAGGTTCAGGGGCACCGATGAAGAAAAACATACCAATTTACAGAAGATTTACAATGAGTAGGTCAAAAAACTGAAGAAACGGTGTGATAAAAGTTTATACAACCAAGTACAACTAAATCTGCTGTTTAAATTTGGCCAAATTTTTTTAGTAAAATCAAGTTTAGTCCACATAACACAAAACCTAACTTAACTAGTTTATACAACCAAGTACAACTAAATCCGCTGTTTAAATTTGGCCAAATTTGTTTAGTAAAATCAAGTTTAGTCCACAGAACACAAAACCTAACTTAACTTTAGGTGTGGACTGGTTATAGAAGCGTAACCTATTATCGCTGGGTCAGAACTGGAGGGACAGACACACACATGTACACATGCACACACACACAACCTCACTATAAATCCTAGTCTGTTCCCTGTGGGAATTTATTTTGCACGACAGTGTGAGTTTGAAGAAAAAAGGCAGAGCACAGCGGACTTGGACCAGCTCAGACCAGTTTGGTGCTGGACTTGTGCTTTCATGTCATTGTTTCAGGATCACTGCACTGCGCAGCCTCACAGTTCAGACTTTGCAGTTTCTTTTGCAGAAGCGCTGCTTTCATTTCATCTCAAAAGGCATCATGCTCACGTGTTCACTGATTTGTTCAGCTTTTGAACAAGAATAGACTTGTCTTCCCCTCAGATGTCCAGTCAGCAGGACATATAGAATGCACTGAATATTTGTGTGGTGTAGAAATATAAAAAAGAACCAATACATGTTTAAGGAATAATTTACAAAGTAAGTTCTGAGTGAAACATTTCATAAATTCACACACACACACACACACACACTCAGCGATACAGTTATTGCTTTATGGTCTGTTCCCCTGATATCCCTATCATATTGCAGGTGCATATTAACCCATCATACAACAGTGAGATGTGAGATTACATATTGCTGTTCCTTACTGACCCATTTGAATAACTGATTATAATCACCCTTCTTCTCTTAGTCATATGCAATATTTCCTCCACTTCTTTTCTCTTTATTATACATGTTTAAGGAATAATTTACAAAGTAAGTTATGAGTGAAACATTTCATAAATTCACATACACACACACACTCAGTGATACTCAGTGATACAGTTATTGCTTTATGGTCTGTTACTAAAGATTGCAACACTATGTCAATATTACCCCTGGATTGCATCATGCTACGTTATCATTAGTGACTATTATACTGTATATCTCACATCATGCTAAGATAAACTTTACAGTTTCATCAAGTACATTTCACGAAGTTTCATGACAAAATAACGTATATCTCTGTACACATGTCTCACAGTCCACCTACATTTCTTTCTCATTCACATGCTTTCCCCTCTCGGTCCTTCACACTGGCCTGCTATAGCATTTTTTCTCTCCTTTTCACTCTCTGAACCTTATTCGGTCCTCTGAGCCCTTTTCTTCCTCCTTTCCACCACCTGCTTCTGTCAGTAGGAAAACAAGGGTTGCACTTTACATAAGCACACTCTGTTCTGAGAATTTCAAACAGTTCAGTTCACATATGCATTACTCACTTTCTTTGTTTTGTTAAATGAGCAGAGCGGTGCAATGGAAGCATGCTGGGTCCAACCCAGCCGTCAGTAGAGCTGAACCATTCTATGCTGTTTTATACATAACGTCCTCTCATCGCCACACAGGTCTGAGAAGGTTGTCTATGCTATTAACTATACTGCATTCTGTTCACCAGTATATCCATATCAACACATCTAGTTTATACATCCATATACAGAAGTTAAAATGTCATAAATAAACATACTGTGACTCGCCAGGCTACCTGTTGATGTTCTTTATCTGTAAGGTTGAAATAGTGGGCTGCATTATCTTAGATTAAATAGTTACCTCATTTGTGTCAGCTACACATTTTTCCTTCAGTTTCACAGGCAATTACCTGAATGGAAAGCAGCATTAGTGACCATGAACATTGACCTTTGAGCTAGTTGTATAAATACTCACACGCTATCTACTTTTGGTTCAAAGCCCTGAGAAGCTTTGGACTACAAGCTATGTAACCAAATAAGTTGGCTTTTCCCAATCCCCTCATTAGTCTGTAAAAAGTGAATGGAATAACGTAAAATAAATGAATATTGTAAAGTCTTCAGGCTCTAAAATAATCAAATTACAGAGAAGAGTTTGGGAGGGAGATTGTTCCATATTAAGTATGCGCAGCTGGAACTTCCTCAACATAAAAGTAATGCCTGTTGTTGTTCCCTTTGTTGTATTGTCTCAAACAGGGTATGTCCAAGACTTCTCTGTGCTTGTCTTGTTTTAGTATCTTTGAAACATGGTCATGTTAGTTTACCTAAAAATAATATGAACAGAACAACAATCATTCAACAAAAAGCTGCTTGTGAAAGACACTTTTAAATCCAATTTTCCATTTGTATAATTACTGAGCAAATTACATAAACCTTTAGCGCCACCTGGCGTCCTTTACACTGTGTCTGTCCTTCTGCCTTTAATGTTGACAGTAGGTGATGATGGTATCAAAACCTACAGCATAAAAACAGTATAAAATTTATTTTAAAGATGTTAGTGTTGGTGACATATTCCAGAAGGGAGTACAAAATAAATGGGAGTGGGTTAATAACTTTGAGAGCGAGGTGTCAGGTTGTGGGTAAAAAATATACATAAAAATACAAATATACATTTAAAAATACAAAAATTATAAATTGTTGACCCACATATGTGCTCTGTGCTTTGGTGAGGATATGGTTTGGGGATGCTTTGTATTACAAACTGGAAGATGGTGTTTGCTTTGGCGGCATGGCCCGACACCCCCCTCGTACGTATCTACCCTACGTAATTACGCTGACGCAAACGTTACCAACCAGGAAGTGAGCGGAGGGGAGGGAACAGAAGAATCACAACAGAAGCTCAGCAGCTATTGTGCCGCTCGTACACGCTGTTTTACAGTTATTAACGAGGACGAACATGTCAAGGAAAGCCAAAGAGGAATATTACAGGTTCTTCACCGTCACCGACCCACGCACTCACGAGAAGGGATACACGGAGTACAAAGTGACAGCAAGGGTTGGTTTACACTCCTTATCTCTTAAGTTGTCATCAGTAAAAACCTGTGTTAATTAGCCTGAATGTTTTGTGAATCATATTTAATGCATCATCTTGAATTGAGTCGTGTGTTGTAGTACTACTGTCCTCTTTTGGCCAGTTACATTAGTCAAATGTAAATGGCTTTGTTGTTATTTAAGACATCAGTATTAGTCATAAAAACACAAGGCTTCTCGGCTCAACAAGACAGATAAATACATAATGAGCCTTTTGTTTGAGGCAGCAGTGCACAGTGACCACGCCAAGTGAAACACAGACTTGTGATTCAGTGCATGAGCTCCAGCACCCGAATGTCTCGTGGATTAGAAAGGCATGCATACAAAATCAAAGGGGGTCATGTTTTTGTAGACCTTTGCCACCCTCCTTTATATTTACACACCGATATGGTCAGACAGAACAACTGAAGTGACCTGTGACTTGAGTGTAAATTGTTGTACTTGAGCTCTTTTACCTGTCATATTAATTTGTTTCACAACATAATATCACCCACAGTTTTAACTAATTGTCCTTTGAATGTTAAATGTTAAAAAAAAAAATCCCTCTTATCTCCTCTGTGGTTTGTAGTCTGTGTCCAAGAGTCATCCAGAAGATGTGAAGGAGGTGGTCGTGTGGCGGAGGTTCTCCGAGCTGAAGAAGCTCCATGGAGAGCTGGCCTACACTCACAGGAACCTGTTCAGACGACAGGAGGAGTTTCCACCTTTTCCCCGAGCACAAGTTTTTGGTAAAATGGTCAAAGAATGTTCTATAAAGTAGACACTGGCAGGCAGTTGTTTCTGCTGAGGATCTACGTGTTCCAGTTTGCTTTGTTTTAGTAATGAATCTTGTGACATTTCCCTTTAGCTTATGACATTTTTTCAGTGGTTATGGATATACAACTGAAAATGCAGCAACACAGTTGAGTCATATCAATGGACGGTTTTCAAGGGGGACACAGTTGCTGCCTTGATAAAATGGTTGAACACAAAACACACCTTTAAAAATAAAGTTTTTATATTGTGTATATCTTTTTTAAAATTTTATTTAGGAAGGTTTGATGAGACTGTGATTGAGGAGAGGAGGCAGGCAGCAGAGGCCATGCTTCTGTTTACTACCAGCATACCTGCACTCTACAATAGCCCACAGCTCAAGGACTTTTTCAGAGTAAGCTACACCCACACACATGCACTAAGTGAAACCAAAATGTAATAGCTGTTAGAGCTTTTAGAATAGATTTTTGAATTCAGAAGAAGAAGTTAAATGCCAGTGTGCCTGTCAGTGGTGACTGTATTGATAGTACAGATATCTTGGGACAGTTATGGATGTAAACTGTGATATGTCCTTGGAGATGTTTCATGTGTTCTTAATAGAGCACTGCTACATGTACACACAAAAAAACATGCCAGCTCAAAGGTTGTGATGTTTTTGGCTTTTTATTGCTTTGTCTGTCTCCACTCTTCTCCTTCCCTTCTCTCAGAATGGCGAGGTTATAAGACCTCTAGACCCAACTCACTTGTTGTCTGCTGGGCCTCTGCCTCCGCCTCTTATCCCTCTCCCCAAGCGGAGGGCCTCAGACTGTGAGCCTGCAGAGGAGGAGGAGGGGAGGGAGGCTCCTACCTTACCCCAGGACCTGGGCATAAACCTTGGCTTAGAAGTAGGAGAACCCGAGGTGGCAGCTGAGGCTTACAGTGAAATGGGTGGCTCCCTGAGAGAAGAAGAGAGAGAGGAGCTTAGCGACATAGAGCTGGATGACAAAGGTACAACAAGGATAAAAATCTGCCAGATTTTACAAGTCTTATATACTTTTGTTTCCTTTCCCTCTATCTCATTCTTATCTTTGTTTACCAGCACCATCTCCTGACCCATCCCCAGCCACAAACCACCATACACAAGAGTCCCAGGAAGAGTTTGAGTCACTGTTTGATTCTGTGGCAGAAGAGCAAGTCTCATCCCTGAAGGAAGAAGGTCCACCTCCACTGTCTGACAGTGACTTGGCTGTGTTTGATCCCTGCTATAAACAAGGTGAATGGATACATAAAAAAGATCAACACTGCTCCTAGTCCTTATAAATCTCTGATTTTGTTTAAAGTTTGAATCTTGTCCAGATTCTCTTTCATTTATACTGATCAGGTTCCATCTTCTGACTAGGTTGAGTGACTATGAATTTATTTTTACCTGACACTTATACATCATGACTGCAGGTTGTAAAATACTACACACTTTGCTTCAAAATGAAGTCATCTCCTAAGACTTGGTAGATAATTGAGTTATGTGGTAAATAATTGTTCAAGGAGCTTGCAGACTGGACCAAATGAGACCGTAATGTTATTGACACATTTCTAAGCATCATTACAGGTTAAGCACTGATCACACTACACCATATATGTGTTATCTGCTGCTGACATGTGCTGAAATGTATTTGGTCAAGTTCATTCACCACACTACATCAGGTTGTAACAGGTGGGTTTAATGTGGTAGAGTGGCCAAGTGGTCTAAGGCACCAGTCCCTTCAGAGTCAGGGTTTCGATTCCCACTGTGGCCAGCAAGGTTTTCAGCTCTTATATTCCTTCTTAGGCCTTGTATCTTAAACTCTTAAAAAAGCATTTTGAACTGTGTCCTGCTATCTGTAGTCATTAACTTAATTGTTATGTTTGTAGTCTGCCACCTAAAGCAAGTTTTGAAGTCAGGGGATTGGTATTAGATGTCATTAGAAGATGACAGCCATCTTGATAGCGTGGGCTGATGGTCTGGATTTAGCTTCCAGTTTATTAGGGGTGGGTGGGTTAAAATTCCCCGTACTGCCAAGAGCTTTTTTTAAGCTGTGAAGTGCTACAATTCATAATTGTGAAACTGGTGTAAGCAAAGACGACATCAAGTCAGATTTTAAAATAAAATCAGCCTTTGAAAAGCACTTATTTCTCTTACTAGAAGGTAATTTTCTCATGATCCTCTTCTCCCAATTTCAGATATATCCAGCTCCTCCAGTGACCACTCAGAATTGTTCTCACTGCCGCCAGACAGTCAGGATGAGGGGAATGTGGGCTATTTGAACCAAGCGGCCACTGAGCTAACAGCTGCCATGGAGCGGGAGAAGGAGGGAGAATTTAGCTCTGCTATTCATGGATACAGGACAGCGGTGGATATACTGATCACTGGAGTTCAGGGTGAGAAGAGGAGGAACGGAGAACATGGGTTGGTGGGAATGGGGGCAGATGGAAGGAGGGAGAAGGGATATAGCAAAGTATTCAGTGTAGTAATATATGTTTCTTAAATGCTCATGTTGTATTCAGTATTCAATAAAAAAAAAAACCTGCAGTGATCCTGATTTGGCAAGGGTAGACTGTGTGGCTCTGCCACAATGGATGACCTTTTGGTTTAGTCTTCTCTGGTGTCTGTGAGGTGCGGTGTGCGTGGGTAGCGTGCCCGAATGGTCTAAAGTACTGAATTTAGGTTCCAGTCTTCAAGGGGGTGTGGGTCCAAATTCCTGCTTCCAGGTTAGGTTTCTGGCTCTAGTGTGCTTTCTGAGGAGCTTCGTCTTAAAAAAGCAGTCAATTGTACATTTGGTTCATGGTCTAAAAAGCATGTTGTTGATTATTTCACTTACAAGTTCTGGTTTGTCTGTGAAGACGCACAGTCATGATATATCCAGAAGTACTAAGTCAAAGGCAATTAGGTTTTCTTTAGATTCTTGCAAGGCAAGTCTGTAGAAGCTAGAACCCAGGGATTTTGAAAGACCTGTAGGACTAAGATGTCAGGAGCTAGAATGGCCAAGCAGTCTAAGGCGCTGTGTTAGGCTCAAGTCTCTTTTGGGATGTATGTTTGAATCCCACTTGTGTCAGAGAATTTTTATATCCTTAATCAATTACATTAGGATTTTGATAAATAGTGTTATGGTAAGCTTGGTTCCAAGCCCACCTCTTATCTTAGAATTACATTCTGTTTTGGAGTGGCCCTCCAAAATAAAAGCTTCAAAGGGTATTGGGAAAACAGTTCACATACAGTATGAAATGACATGCTGCAAGTGACACACCATCACAAACTGGCAGCAGAATGGAAACCAAATATGAAACTGACAGTGAGATTTTTTATTTTTTTTTACCATGTTCAGATCTATTTGACACCAAACAACTTTTCCGATCACAGTTCAGCTGATTGTAAATCCACTTAGCTCCTTTTTCTAGCAGGTTAATTTTGAACCTGTCAGAAAATGTATGTAAGTTGAAAACCTTTCACATGTGAAAGGTTTTTTCTCTATCTTTTTACAGCAGCAGCAGGGACACTAACTAATGGTGGACAGTAATAATAACAATAATAACTTGTCTCTGTATCTGTCTGTCTGTCCAGGAGACCCAGATCCAGTACGCAGGGAATCTGTAATGAGAAGAACAGCCCAGTATCTAAAACACGCTGAGATGTTGGTCGACAGGCACTCCTCACCTACACACAGTCCCACGCCTACACACACATGCACACAGGACCCATAGATGCACGCACATATATTTATTTACACCGTTCACACACTTAAAGACAAAACCTAAGAAGCTCAGGGCTGTGACCGACAAACACACACATATTCTTTCTCTTTTGACAAAGACATTCGCAGGCATAGGCCCACAGTAGATACAAGATCATTCAGGTGCAAAACTGTAGCACACAGATGATGTACACACTACACTGCAGACTGTTTTTTGTTGAATGAAAAATCTGTGATTGACAAAATCTAAATATCCTGAAATTGAAAATAACTGTAGATTTAATGTGTTACTGTGATAAATACACTTTCACCTTTCTATTTTTCTCTTGTGTAATTCTCATCATCCTTATGCAGTCTTCTCTGTTTGATTACAGTAATGTCTATCAAGTAATTTCCATTTTGCACAGTGTTTTGTTAATTAACATGATTTTAATTTCAGACTAACATGTCTGTTCTTAAAGGTAGAGAGAGCCGTGTGTTAGCACTTTGTGATTGTTACATAATCAGATGGTCAAAATACCTATCACCAGTCCAGGATATTTTAGGAGGTCTGACCTCATTAATCCTATTCAGAACCAAATACTTGACATCTATTATCCCAGGAATTGTATATGCACTTGTTTATAAACTGTTGTAATCCTCAGCTGTAAAAACAACTGATTTGAAAGTATGCCTAGTCAGCATACTGTGATGATGTATTGTTGTCAAAAGTATTTTTAATTGTGGTCATTCCATAGCAGTCTGTCCATTGTACTGTGTTACTGTAGTTAAGCTGGCTGCTTCACAGAACTGTCATGGTCGAGGGTTTCACAGGTTTCCGTGTATGCAGTAGCCAGGCAGTACCTCTGGGTGGCGCTGTTGGCCATTAGATCATAACTACACATCCTGTGACAACACTCATACACCAAGCAAATACATTTGCTTGGTGTATGCTCAGTTTAGACCACAACGCATCAGTTCACTAAAATAAGATGCTGGGCTGATGCTGCTTCACTTATTGTAATTAAATTAAAAGTTAAATGTACTATAGTGTATTTACAAGAAAGTCAACCAGTGCTGCAAAATGGGGAGATAAAGAGATGGTGAACACATTACTCCTAACTCACTCTGATAGCAAAATAACACCACAAACATCTGTATCAGAGCTGCGCTGTTTTGTCATTCCTCGTATGCTTGTACTGCTTCCCCAAATTCACAAGCTGGTTAAAGAATAGTTATAAGATACATTAGAACAGTAATAGATCCAATTTATTTACACAAAGTATTCCAGATCACAGCTGATATTGTGGTAAAATACATATTTAATGCATCTTAATAACTATTAGAAGATTTACACGAGCTGAATTGTGTTTTAAATGTATGTGTTTTAAATATTCTAAAGAATCAGACCAACCGCTTTCTTAGATTAAGTTTGGATATTTTTACTATCTAAACAAAAGAGTGGCTTATAAAGAGAAAAATGAGGAGGAAATGGGATGCAAAAGAGGAGAGAGGTGAGCACTAAACAACAGAATCTCTTCTCAGGAGAGGAGAGAGGGATGAAGGGAGGACTGGAAGGGCAAACAGATGGACAGGCGACAAAAAAGGGAGGCCGGTGAGAGGAAAAGGCTCCCCTATCTCTCTCTCTCTCCGTCTCTCACCAGATAAGG